ACTTTTGAAGCAGTTGGAACAGACATCAAGTTTGCAGGGGTAAACTGTTTCTCAGGGATAACCTGTCTCTCAGCAATTTGCTGTCTTGGAGGGGTAACTTGTCTTTCAGGGATTTTTTCTTTTGGCTCGTTGATATCTAATTGTTCTTCCTCTACTGTGTCTTTCTCTACTTTTTCTTCATCCATTGTTTCTGTTTCTACTCTTTCTTCATTAATTGTTCCTTATATTTCTGCCACAAAATCATATTATTTGAATGCGTTTCTATCAGGAGGAAACATTCAACTTTTTGTGATTTCATTTCAGTTATGATTTCATTTCATACAAATGAAAAAATGCTGCAACATTTTCTCTGGTAAATGATTTAATTGGCGCATATGATATTCCTTGGGGCGTTCTCAATGACAATTCTTTGTGCCTTGCAATAAATCCAGAAAACCATTTCTTCCCAGCACTTTCTTTTGCTACACTTAATGGATTCCTTATATCATTAGCCTTGCATAAGCTGTATCTGCACCCGTCTTTAAAAATTCTTTCCATTTCTAAGCAGTGATTTGCAAGCATTGACTCTATTTGTTTTGAAAAGGCTATCTTTCGTCCTTACGAAGAATTCACAATGTTTTCAGGTGCTCCCTTCATCTTTACATACTTTTCTAAAGTCGTTTGAGGTATACCGTGGGTCTGCGCACCCATTTCGCTTTGTCGAACAGCTGAAATCATTTTTGCTCAAAAACAGGTATTTTATCGATTTGTCAATTCGTCACATTTTCTCGACCATTTGTGAAAAGCTTGTACAACTCGTAAACATTTTTCTGACTCAGAGTACAATCACCGTATGCTACTGTCAGCCTTTCGAGCACTCATTTCAATGTTTACACAAAATTTGGTACAACTTTTTCCATCAATTTTTTTTTCTATAGTAGAATATCACTGAACCCGAAAAACATTTCTTACTTTTATACCTCTCACAAACAAACTAAACATGCTAATCAAATATGGCTAATTGAATGTACGTAGTCCACGGAATTTTCAAATTCACCTTATTACATTACCAATCATCAGTACATTCCCTATTTTTCGAAATAGCATAAAAATTGTAGCGAATAGGTAAGTACTATATTGATACATGCGAATCATTCACAAGAATCCTACCAGGGGAATTATTCTCTTTTTGAAAATGTTGGCTTGGCAAGGCCCTCTAAATTTCTTATCTTGTGAATGATTGGAACAAAAACTGACTATTTTTTTATGTGATTAGTTCTGTTCAGATTAGTTCCTGAAAAATAAATGTTTTCAAGAATATTTTGAATTTTATGGAGTGTTACAGCTTTTCATTTGATAGTTAGTTTGTATTTGTCATTTGGAACACGATACAGATGAAGGAAACATCTCCTGAAGACGCCAAATTGGTTGATGAAACGCGCGTCGAAAGGAGTATTGCATTTCTGATGATTGACAAGTATTTGTTTTTCGATCTAAAGTCAAGAGTTACTTTAGAATTCACAATCATGATCCATTCAATGACTCATGACTGATTCGGTATCAGTCGATACCGAATAATGGAAGAAAAGACGTCGTGTTTTTGTTCATCTATAAGAAAAAAGTGATATCTGAAGCATTGTGAACAAGTCAACACCCAGAGTAAGCGAGAATGCAATAAATTGGAAGCTCGACACTATCAAAATAAGAAAAGAGAATTGAAACTTTCTATGTTTTTACCACTTTTATTTGTAACTAACATTATTGCAGATTAGTTCTATAAGGACATTTTTAAACTATCAATGCATAGCTACATGTAGTAACGGCTACATCCATCAATTTACTATCAAAATCATTTTTTGCTCCACTTTCAAGGTTACTGATGGATAGAAAACATTTAAAATAAAATTAACAACTTCAAACATGAAGAACATTAATTATATTAACTGAAAGATTTCGTTTTTGATGAAGGATCTTGTTTAGGTAAGATCCCAAAAACATGTTCCTGTATATGTATAAAATAAATTGAGTCAAATTTTTTATCATATTTTTAATGCATCATTTTTTCAATAACAAAACAGAACAAGGTGTTCCAAGTACTCTTTTTTTTCTGCAATGCCAGTCTAACCAATCCAACAAATCAGTGTTGAATATGGAAACGAAATGAAGGTGTTACTTGAGAAGTAGCCTTTCCTAGAAAACACATATTAACAAACTTGCAAATGAGTTATTGAAGTCAATTTGCAATGAGGCAAGTGTTTAAGCCGCTGTTTCATAATGTTATGACCTACGGATTACTGAATGAGAAACAATCTTGCCATATCGACAAAATATTTATCTTTCAAAAAAGAGCTATTCGAAGCATTGTAGAGATTACGTTGACGAGATGATTTTAAATTATGAATCACTTCCAGAAATATATTTAACGAGTTTACCAATGAGCAGATGCCCATCGCGGTTATGGTCGAAACGTGCTGATCCAATCTCTTTATTGGAACACTACTATCTAACCTAGAAAACCAAAGTTCTCATCAGTTTCTAACACAGACTCAGAATGTATCTACCTAAAAAAATTTACTATGATATCGACGAATTCAACCCTCATTATTTATGATCTGTACTGTTCACTATATATTGTCATTAGCTTCTTGCATGATTGCAATTTTTACGCTTCTTTTTATTCACGTAACTTTATTTTCTTCTATTCTTTAAGGCACTTCGGTGCACATGAGACGAATGAATTATTATTTTGGCAACCTTCTTCATTTGTCTGGCCAAGACTTCTGCCTTGATGCCGGTTACCTATATTTCGAGATCAACGAGTAGAGAGGCAGAAAATTCATCTATTTGTCTTCCTCTTTGATGCGGTGATCTGGGAAATATAATGAGTTTGTGAAAACTTTCAACTCACGTATCATCATCTGCTTTCATAAACCAATCAGCTTCATCGAAATAATTTTGGAATACATATTTGAATGCTTCTTTTGTTTTAGCCCATAAGTTGTTCCTGCCTTCCCCCACAGGTAATGCAATTGCAGGTAAAGTTTTATCTGAAATAATGAAAAAATAAAGTTCAAATGAAAGGAAGAAGATGAAGTGAAATGTATCAGGTTGTTTCGAAAATTTTGACGGTTTTTATAAATCTACTTTAAACTAGTATGTCAGTGAATACTCATTAAATTTAATGAAATTACGCGCCATTCAGCCAACAACGTAACGAAGTTGATTAATTTCGTTGGAATAAAAATTGGGTGCTCGGGATTTAATGGAGTCGACGAAAGCCGCTTTATGCCTGGTCGTAAGTGGAGAAGGTTGCACCGGTGAGAAAGCTATAGCCAATTATGAGTCAAAATATTCCTTTTATTTTCTTTTTCATCTCTATTTTCTGAATTTTAGCTCGTTTATGAGCATATCAGCAACCAGCTCAATTATGAGCGTATCAGCAACCACTCGCACACCTTCCAAATAATACAGTTCCGCTATCTTTGTATGTTTATCTGACATCCAAGTCATTTTGCCGTGAAAACCAATTTGGTCTAAGGTTACGTGTCCAAGCACACTTGGTCCAAGTTGGTATCCAAGTGTACTTAGATCGTGTCAAACCGTTTTTGGAAAAGACGAAATCCAAGATGAATATATCTCAGTTCCATACCACCAATACACGAAGATCTTTGGAAAGATTTTCAAGCAACTAGGTATGTCATACCTACATAACAAGTCATACCTACACTACAGATCATTTTAAGAAATTCAAAAGACAAAAGTCCAAAATTCGACTTTTGGAAGCCTGGAAATTACGAAATCAAATGTAAGGACCGCGATGCAAAATATTATGGATAAACTGAAAGATCTATAAAAAAATTGAGCATGCTTAACATTTTTGTTAACAGATTTGTGAATGCTTTCAAAAGTTCAGAATACGAAAACGTATAATGAAACCTATGAATAGTGACAAAGGTCACATTTCTAATAGCTCACCCCTCCGGCTCGTACGTAGTAATAATTACTGATAGAAAACTGTTTAACGATTGGGTATAAAAACAGAGAGTGATTAGGAACAATCACAACATAATATGTAATAACATAGGAACGACATCTACTTTCATCATTCGGGCGAAAGAACTCTCCATATCGCCAATGTCGTCGTCCATGTCCTGATATCTAGCCTTGCCATAACCAAAAATTTCACTAATTTGTCTTGAATAGTCGTTATCTAGATCATCATCATCGATGAAATCGTTCATTTCGGAATCATAACATCATCGTCATCTATTACACGGCGTTTGAGAATTTGAAAATGCAGAATGACACCTAAGAATAGTGACAAAGGTCCCATTCCTGATAGTTCACTTATCCCCCTCGTATGTAAGTAATAATTACGGTATATCCGTAAAATTGAGTTCTTATCCCGATGATGTCAACTTGGTTAGAGGCACGTGCCTTTAGAGACAGTATATTGTTTTGGTATGCGAAGAGTTTTTCAATTGATTATTCAAACGTGCCTGAAACTAAAGTATATATAGTGCAATAGACTACCAAATTGAGATAAACACAAACCTAGTATTCAGAGTGTTACAAAATATTTTTATTGTCGAGACAACAAAAACTACTATCTATTATACAACAGTATTCTAATATTGTGGAAAGTAGAGTCACAGCATAGTAAGTAAGCTGTGGTAGAGTGCCTGTTACACAAGAAGGCACCGCAACACCTTTGTAAAAATAAAAACATCAAACTATATTCAACAGAGTAAACCTACAATCTCCTCTTCTTTATCATCAACACACAATGTTGTTTGTATTTATAGCATTCATACCTTTGCCAGGTACCTGGGCATCAGGTACATACGTACCAGGTACCTGCGTGTTTAATTTCACAGTATCCCCTCATCCATTAGTCAGGTAGATATGATAACTGAGAATATTGTGTTGATCACTCGCAACTATTAGACATTTTAGAGAATTTGGGTTTTCGTGGAGTAGCCAGAAAACTAATGAATAATTATCTGAGTGACAGGAAACAACAGATATTACCCAATGGCAGTTTGAGTACCGAGTGCATTGTTGAATATGGCATACGACAAGGTACTGTTCTGCATCTTAATTGTCTCAAAATTGAATTCACAAGAGGTATAAGATACTATACCACGATCCTGTTGCATTCCTTCAATTCACGTCTCATGATTATCTGAAATACAAAAATTTTCAACCATTTCATTTCTGTAAAAGGTTGGAAACCATTTTCTTCCTTTTCAGGAAGCTTACTAGTTCGCTCCTCGTACCGCACTGTAACTTCCACTTGACTGTGTCGATGGGCGAGTGGATGACACTTATATTTGGCAATCGAAGGCGCTAGAACATTCCTCGGAATTCCATCGAATCCGGTAGTATTATTCTAGCCACATCTAGAACCGCATTGAACATTCGCGCGCTCTCAACTACGTCACAATTGGTTTATGGCACCAGTGGCGGCCGGCGTTATTTTCTTTTGGGCACGATTTACAACATTATCTACTGAGCATTTTCACTATTCACAACGGAGTTGTTTGATGCCGTAGCATATATATGTTCACAGCATAATGATCAACAATAACTATCCCAAAATCACCAAATATGACTTGGAACTCAAACTCAAATAGACTTTGATTCAACGTCAAAAGCTGAAAATTTTAACATAAAGTACCTATATAGATAGTCACATACATCAAAAAATCATTATTTTCTCAAGTGAATTTCATTTGTTGCTCTTCAAGGTATTATGGTCTCCCATAATATTTTATGATTCACTCTGTTTCAACATCAATTGATTTCTTGGGAGTAGCATATCAATTTAAAGGTTATGAAATACACTTACCGCATATTTTTTTAATAGAAGAGAGATCATAAATTACATAAAAATATTGATAATTATAAATACCTTCTTGGGAGCTCATGAATAATAGAATATTACAGCGTTTTCCCCAGGTGGCTTTCACATGTTTTGCTTTCTTCTCATGATTCTCTGGTCCAGTCATCACCCAACACAAAATTTTCACTTCCTTATAGAGGGCATCAGCGAGATCTGTGTTTGTCATTTTATGGAAGGTATCATTATCATTGTGAGCGCCGACTTCTTCTTTTGGACCAAATACATCATCCATATCACCTTCCCTGTGAAATTCTTCATATTCGTTTTCGTGGCCGTGATTTACGGGATTATTTTCCTCATTCTGGTATGATTCATGAAATCTAACGTTTTTTGGGTGATCATAATAGTCATAATTGTGCTCGTAGACAGCACTTGGTGCCAATGTAACGTATGCTATTGTGAAACCTATCGCTATGCCAGCCACCAGGTAGAAGTGTGATTGGTTCTGAAACAGAAGAAGAATCATTTCAGTTAGTATAAATACTACCTTCCATTACAAATATTCAAACAAAATTTTCGAATATAGCGCGGTATTGAAAAACATCTCTATACATTCACGTTTCTTTATATAATTTGGTTAACCTTTCAGTCGTCGCGGATCCTGGCGCGACAAAAATGATCGCAGATGTATCTCTCAGATACTCGACTTAAACTGATGAAAACTGTTCATTCATTTGACTCGAGGATGATAGTAAACAACGATTGAATGCAATAATTTTATTATAACATGTAATTTTCAAAATGAAAGTTATTCTTAAAATTAAAATGTGTAATATTTATCACATAGAATTGGTGAAAACTTCAAGAACTGTAAATCAGTAAATGAATACCTTTCAATCTTCAATCTTCGTTTCTTAGTAGCACCTGCATAACCATCTCGACAAACGTTGCTAAAATGTTGGAGACAGAGATGTGTTCCGCAGAAGGAACATTGAAATTTTGTTAATCTAGTACGCTTCTCTCTCTGACATGGTACACAACGTTTACGCTTTGGGTCATTATTTTGAATATTTGGTTGCTGCAAATTTTCTTCTTGATCAACTATTTCTCTGAGCCTGGTTGATATCATATGCGGCAGACCAGTGTTGGGATTACTACGTCTTCGCAGGTGTTCTCTCACCAACTCATTACCAAGGGTTCGTAAGAAATGCCGCCGCTTTTCAGTTTGACATCCATTCCCAACATTGATAACTTGAGAGTTGATTCCTCCTACGTTGAGCATGCTAAAGAATATTACCATTGGCCAACGTCTAGTGTTCAGGGCTACATTGTATTAGGAACACAATTTATCTACCACGTCGACTCCTCCTTCAGTTTTATTATGAAACGTAATGATCTCAGGTTTCATTTTATCTCCGGTAGATTCTTCAATTGTATCATCGAAATGTTAACTTGAGATGAGTACAACATGTTTGTTTTTCTTAGGAACGTAGGATACTATTGTATCCTACAGGACGGTATTTCAGGACTTTTAACTGATTTGGAATTTGCCATTTGTTTTTTTTTTCAGTGTTTCTACTATGGACAACTTATGGTTTGTAGATAAATCTTGCAGAAGTGAAATATCGCAGAACCAATTATCCATAGTCACGTTTCGTCCAGTGTTGTGTATGGGTGATATCATCCTTTTCACCACATCAATGCTTTTATTGCTCATGGAATGTGGTCCATCTGGTTGTAGTCCGGCATAAATTTCCATATTACAAGTATAATATGTTTTGGCATCAACGAGGGCAAAAATCTTAATACCATACTTGGCCGGTTTTGATGGTATATATTGAATGAAGTTGCATCTGCCGCGAAAAGCTTCAAGCTTTTCATCGATTGTCACATTGGCTCCTAGTGAATAACACTTTGTACTGTTGGTTACGAACATTTCGAATATTTCTCTTATAGGAGCTAAACGATCATTCTTTTTTCTCTCATCTCTGGTCTCTCGATTATCGAACCTCATAGAACGAAATAGAAACCTGAAGCACATCAATCCCATGGTCAATCTGAAATTTCGAAACCGTTTCCTTCTGTATCCCACAGCTCCTCTAAATTCAATCGACCGCCTTTATACAGTCCAGACAAATAAAGCAGCCCTATGAATGCTTTGATTTCAGTGGGATAAGTAGTACGGGCGTCTCTATCTCTGCTGAAATTTACTTGTATACTCATTATATGCTGATTGGTATAGGTCACTAGCAAGTTCAGAATGGTGTCATCGAATAGACATTGCCATATTTCAAGTCATCCCCTTGCTTGACGAGCATTACCAATAACTCCTGGTAGGCGCAAAATAATATTTTGCTTCTCTAACCTTCACCTTCTGTTGTAGGGTGCCTTTTCCCAAACGTAATTGTCGCTAATTTTTCCAATTTTCTTTCTGAGAACTATATAACAATTTTCATTTTCGTTATCTGACGCTATACTTCCGTCCAAATTGTTTTGTTCACTATCCGAACTTCCATCTCTTTTTTCTATGTATTCAGAAGAATCTATATCATTTGCTTCATCTAAGACCTCCCCAACTGGATCATTATCATCTTCAAGAAGCAGCCTTTGCAGCTCTAATACACCTGCTTCATTATCAAACTTATACACTCTTGGATGCCATAATTCACTGTAAGAATAATCGTAATGATAAGTAACAAAAATATTTTCGCTCAGACAATTTGTGGTCGCGGGTATCTCTCAGATACAAGTGACTCTTTATGTATTGTTTCTCAGTCCAAGAAAAAAATATGCAAAGGTATTGTTGGTAAAACATAAAGTATTGCTTTCACGTTGATAAAACAAGTATATAATCGGATTATTGAAACTTACATTAATGGTCACGGGGTATCTCTCAGATACAAATAGAACTTTTCAGCTGAACCGTTCACTGCGACGAGTTGTTACCAATACTAACATTTTCCAGTTTGTGAAACTGGAAGGTGGAAGACGGCACAACCCCACTACTCAGCAGATTCCCAACCAATGCGCTAAAGAATTGCCGGCATGTATCTGTCAGATACGCGCGACTACTGGAAGGTTAATTTGGTTGTTCGAGAAAATTGAACCTAGTAAATATATATCAGTTATAACAATTGATTCCTAACTTGAAATCAAATTAAGTATGATGACTATCGACGAGCGATACAAAGTACAAGAAAATGAATATTTTGAAATGAAATCTCGAAACGTTGATCTCTCCCATTATTTCAACGCATTAGAATTTCATATAAGACTGCCGGAAACAACTACTTCTCGGTCTGATATCACTATGGACATTGAATAATATCCGGATATGAAAAATAAAAATTTCGAAATGAAATCCCAAGACATTCATTCCTCTCAATATTCCTAAACAGTAGAACAACTACTTTCTTGGGTGGTACCACGAACGACATCCGGATATGATTAAATGGCTATTCATCCATTTCGTCTTGCTCATCTCTAAAAAAGTCTCATCTCTAAAAAGTTATAAACCATCAGTATTTCAAAAGTCTCCGTTTACCGTAACATATCGAAAATTTACTATCATCTCCTGGAATTCAGAGACATATTCTCATCAAATACGATAAGTCAATGTACAAAAGACCCTTAGCAGTCCTGCGAGATACTGAAACGTTATATTACCCACTGCACAACCTAAAAACTAAATTTCATAGGAACTACAAACTTTTACCTTCCTGGATGAATCCATAGAGCTAACATTAACCGTTCTGAAGGTACAATTCATCATCTTTTCAGAAACTTTCTTGTGTTCTTCTCAAACTGAATCAAGATGATGAAGTTCCTGATTTGAATGACGCGAGTTGGCTCGTTGTACCGCACTAATCACAGAAAAAACTTCTGAAGACTTATTGACTTAGGATTATGTTCTTTCTTATTATTTTTTCTATTCTTCTATCACTGTATATCCTAGAAGTATTCTTCAATTCACATGCATGTTTTATATCTTTCCATCTGTTTTATTGATAAATATTTGTAACTCTTGTGAAAAATATAAGTTTTTAGAAATAAAACTATCATTCTCTCTTAGCGTTCAAAATTTACTTTTCATTTGATCAAAATAATTATGCTTCTGAAAAGTTTATAACGTTACTTAACCGGCTGAATGAGTATCACTATTATTGAAAATTATATATAACATAAACTGAGGTTATTGAGGTCAATTTATATTATCTTTGTTGATAGCACCTTTTTGGAATTCGTTTTGAATATTTACTTTCGAAGTCTTCGATAACAAATTCCTCATATCACATTTCATATTCAATAAGTTATTCATTACCTTTTTGAATTTCAAAGGGAGATATGCAATCTATGGAGGATTCAAGCTCTGATTCGCTAAACGTTATAATTTTGAATCACTATCATTTACTAGCTATTATTGTTTCATATAGTTTCCAGTTGAAATGAGCCTTCCCCCAAAAAAACAACTCATCAAAAATTTTAAACAATAACAATAGTCGAGTTACATATCATTTGATAGGCCTTCAATTTTGTATGCAATCCTGTAATAATTTTATTTGAATAAACAACTCTTAGGTTTCTATTACATTCAAAAAAGTGAGGTCAACCTGAATACACAATTACACTATTTGAAATGCTCAAATAGCACAACTGATTAATACTAATGAAAATAACATGATTGTAAATTTTATCAGTTACTGTTGAATGTTTTTGTTAGAATTAATCTGAAATAGTACCTGTCCACACTTCAAGAGTGGATTAAAATGGAAGGTTTGTATTACGAACATTGACAATTAACAAAGGTCACGCGTTTTCAACGAGAATCATCCTGACCAAAACATTAATACTAACAGTAGTAATAGTAACTATTTATTTTACACATACATGTTTATAGTAGGGCATAAAAATATCATTCAAAACTTCAACATAACTAAGTAAGAACAAAGCACTGAAAACAGATAACTCAGAATTGAAAAAAATGATGATTAAATATACTTTGAGACTCGAAATGACTAATCTACATACACATCAAAGAATATATCTATAATATAAAATTGAATTTAATTTCTCAGTATGAAGTGAATGTCGACGAAACAAAAACTACAACAAACAATATACAGGACTCTATTTAAAACTTCAGAGATGGGGGTGGCCCAAGTCAGATGACACCCTGTATAAAAGATTCATGGACATATTCTGATAGCCCACATCAAGTGCCAATATCAAAATGTGGACAGATTTTCAATATGTCTGCGAATAAAGAAGATATAGGTAAAAAAATAATTTGGGATATTTTGGTTTTTCCTGTATATCTCCAAAACCAAAAGAGCTATATTCGATTTTTTTACATCATTGAATAGGTCTCTAAAATATTTTTCCACAATTCAACAAATACTCTGTCTCTTATCGTTTACGAGATCCCTCTTTGATCATTCCCATATTGATTTCAATTTAAGAGCCACCGGTATACAGCTGTTTCAGCCTATTGGGCATCGTCAGTACCGGGCAGGCGGTCCTCGATTGAAGACAAAATGGGAAAAAACTAAGAAAATACTTGATAAAAATAGCTGCGTAAACGCAAGCGAAACATAAGTGGAACCACCTATTGGTGTGACACCCAAGTCAACTTGCCAAGTTTTTATGTCAGTGTTGGTGGTTTGACCAATCAACCGACAACTGCGGTAGCAGAAATTTGGGAAGCTAACCTGAAATGCCATCGGAAAACGAATCCACATGTTTCTAGAAATGATATGAAATCTAGAAAGGTTAATGCAGTCAAGCTGCTGGAAAATAATTCCATGAAAATCAAAAAATAAATAGATAAGTACTCTTTGATATAATACTGACAAAATACTGTTTTGAAACTTGGGAAATTACGAATATTTCCGGAAATATCCAAAAAAAACTGAAAATCGTAATTTTTGTTTCCAATTCTTTCTAGCGTTTTTAACAACATAGCTCAAAACCAAAAGCACAATTCCATCGATAATTTTTTTCAGCTACACGTTTTCATGTTCAGATTTACTCTCCGACGTTTCGTCTTCTGGCAATCATCATCGGATTTTTTTCTATTATGGGCGTCATATTGTTATTTTATACAGAAAAATAGTGCTTCTCTTTCTAATTTCATTGATGTATAATTTGTTATGATTTGCTATTCTAGAACCACAGACATTAAAAAAACAACTTCATCTGAGATGGTCATGACTCCATAGAAAAATTTTGTTTAATAGACACTAGTTGTCAGAACTCATAAGTTTGAACAAATACTTGAGTCGAAATGTCCTCATTCTCAAATGGAGAAATACGAGCTATGCTGAAACTTCATTATAAATTTGATAGAAATAGTACGAAAACAGCACAAATTTATTTTGAATTATATTCGGAAAGACAACAGCCGAGTGGACCATCATTCGGAATTTTGGACAAACACTTGGCTGAGTATGGTGCGTTTCAAAAACCAATAATGAAATCATGAGCATGTTGAAAATGCACAAAAATATTACAACAAAGGTTCGAAATGATGGCCTTCCTCGTCGTCTCAAATTAAGAACAGCCCTAAAAATATCCTTTCTTCTGATCTCAATTATGTAATGATATTTTTTTCAAGTTCACCTACTATGTCATATTCTTGCTCTGCATAGATTCTGTTCTATAAAGTGCTCCACAAGAAAGTATCCAAAACTGTAAGGTCGGGTGACCTCGCCGGTCACCTCACTGGTCCAGAATTTCCTAACCCCCTAAAAGGAAATCTCTGCTTTAAATATTCGCCAACTGCTCTTTTATTGTGTGGAGGAGCCCCGTCATGTTCGAAGTATTAGAGAAGAAATGAGGTCCAAGTATTTGGTCGTTATAAATTCCAGCCCACACATTGAATTTCTGACAAGAAGAGTCTGCACTGATAGCAGACAAGCCCTATTAGCCTTGAACAGACAACGTGATACCTCAGGGCTATTACTAGAGTGCCACAAAGATTTAGCCAAAGCCTCGGTAGATTATAACATTATCCTGAGGTGGATTGAAGGGCACGACAGGAGTAAAGGTAATCGCATTGCCGACTCTCTGGCCAAGAAAGCGGCTGGACTGAGAATTTTAAGATCCAGTGGCACCTACGGCCTGATAACTTCGACAATTACGAAACTACCAAGCATCACACCCATACTCAATCCCTAAAGAGATAGGTTGAAATCAAAGGATGCAATCTTACTAGTGGACACACCTCTATGCAGGATGTGTGAACAGGAAGGTGATACTGTCAGGCATGTCTTATGCGAGTGTCCGGAGTCACTGGGAGATGTCTCCCAGTGATGGAAGATGTCTCTCCAGCACTTTTCTGGAAAGAACAGGATGGACGATTACCTAGAATCCTAGAAGGACAACTCCTCGGGAGGATATACAATGGGTCTCATGTGGCCTAATGCTGTGGGCCTACACTCACCCTCCCTACTCTACATATACAGATACAGATCTAAAAAAGTACCAAAAATAATTATACTTCTTCGACTATGGAAAGAACAATTATTTCACTTCGGCTAATGAGTTATTTCTGATATTTTTTTCCATGCTGCTTCCATACTTCATTCTTGGTTTTTGAAACACACCGTACTTAGTCAAGTGTATGTCCAAAATTCCGAATAATGTTCTATCCGGCTGTTGTCTTTCCGGATATGATTCAAAATAAATTTGTGATGTTTTCGTACTATTCCTATTGAATTTATAATAAAGTTTCAACATATCTCGTGTTTCACAATCACAATCGAAACGTCGTGAAGTAACTTGGCTTGCACTTTCAATTTGAATTTTGATTAATTGTAAATTGTTCAATTTTCAATTGTTACTTTTATTCAATTTCATTGTAATTTCAGTTTTTAATAATTGAAATATAAAACAAAACCTTTTTTGGGTTTTCTAGATGATTCTACATAACTGTATATATCTTTCAAAATGCCCCTCAAATTCTCAGATGATTTTTTAATTATTGAAACTGTTTTTAACAAATCTATGGATCATTACATCTGAATTTATTATCCTTATCTTCATAATTTTATGATATCCATTTTTCTTTATTTCACAAAAATAAAACTTCATTCATAAAAAAAATTGTCTTCAGAAAGAGCAATTGAGGACCCTTGTGGAGACTGATCCAGCATAAACGATGCGTGCAAGGGATGGCGGAAGAACTGGGCGACAGCTCCCATGCTGTTCTTGATGGTGCAAAACATATTAGAAAGGTCAAAGAAGTTGAAAAGTGAACGATCGACAGAAATTGTCACAATTCAAGGTATGTTCTTCTCTGCTTTTGCGCAACCAAAATGATCCTTTTTTGTATCGGATCCTCACGAGTGATGAAAAGTGGATCTTCTACCTCAATAAGAAAAGTTCAGGGCAGTGATTGAACACCGATGAGCTACGCAGACCCTTCCCAAAGGCGAAAACTCACCAAAAACGACCATGGTTACTGTATGGTGATCAGCGGCTGGTGTGATTCACTATAACTTTCTGCAACCGAGTCAAACCACCACAGCAGAGTCCTATTGTAAGGATATCGACGAAATGTACCGTCAATTGCGTCAGCAGCAGCCGGCGCTGCCTAGGCATTAAAGATGTCACTTCTACGATCGATAGATGTATTTATTTATTTATTTGTATCCAAACAGACCAAAGCAAAGTTCTAATTACATGGATAATGAATAATCTTCACATTTCAATAATTATAAATCATGATAGTCAGTTGTGTACCTACTCAAGAACTTTGAGGTTGAATAGCAGTGCACTATATTTACTCTGTTATTGAATATGGTTGTGCAATAAAATCGATAACAATAATATCTAAATTAGCTTATGGATAGAAAATTATATTCATGAACAGATGAAAATACTAAATATGATAAATATGTATACCGTATGAAACAGATGTATTCAAGAAATGATCTAATATTGCTCTAAGAAATACTCTCTGAGGTAGAGTCCAATCTAAATCTACGAGCACACTACATGTATCGGCCAATCGTAACATGGTCACGAGAGGGGATCTGTTCGTTGTACCACCAACGGAATATTAAATGGATAAGTTCTCCGAGTCCTACGAGAAGGGACATTGAATCTCAATAATGATAGGATTCCTGGTGCATTTATCCTGTTGTTTATCACA